TTGAAGTCCATCCCTCTTAAAGAGGCTGAGGTTGAGAAAAACTGGACTAGATGATCCTTGAGGTCTCTCCCAACTCTATCATTCTAGGCTCTGTTCTATTTTCCGATTGAGACCTTGTAAGCAGCAGAAAGTTTATGGCGAACCTATGACACATGTGTCAAAGGTGACATGCCATGATGTTTTGGATGACACCTCAGTGTTCACCCACCCCCGACAACACTATTCTTGAAAGTGTAGCGCTACCTCCTCAGAGGCCGCCAATGCCCAGGCCCTCCCGGCCACGTCCCCCCTTGTCCAGCCTTGCAGCAATGTTCTTTAGAGATCGATGAGATGTCTTACAACCGGAGCTCACGCAGCATTAATGGGTGGCAGGCTCTTCTTGTTGAAGCAGGACTTTCAGGCACGAACTTAACCAGTCTCAGTGGTTGATGCTCTGAGGATGTATATAACACCTCAGGGCTGCTTTAGCAGCAGGAGTAACAGGCCCCTGAGCAATCGTTCAGAATCCGATGAAATGGGGGGGTAAACCCCGGCTCCAGATGGTAACAATAACGACGGCCAGTATGTTATGGCAATGGCTCATCCCCCAGGGCAACTGCCCCCACAATGTCCCAGCACCTATGCCAGCAGCGATGGCCACAGTCCAGATGCCTCCAAAGTCCACAGCAACAGTTGGCACCACCAGTCTCTCTCCTCCTGGTGCTTCTTCTCTAGGATTCTTCTTCAGGTTTCAGGATTCAAAACCACCCCCCTCCCTTACTCTTTATTATTAAAATCCGAGGCTAGAAACCCCAACCAACTCCCTTACTTCACACTCTCGCTTGCCTCCGTCTCAGATATCCTCCCACGGAGGAAGCAATAAAACTTCACTCTATCTAGCCTCTATTTAAAATACCCTTGATAGAAAAATAAAATAAGCTTCCAGACCTTCTCTTCTCAACTCCAACCATCCCGGCCTTCTCCTTTTCTTCCCTTTTCTATCCTTCCTCCTTCCACTCACGCCAACCACACCCAAGCCAACTGCAGCTGTCCCAATCTTCCCCTTCCCAGTCAAGCTCCTGCAAGCACTCTCAGGCAGTCCCCGCTACAAAAGCACAGCCTGCTCTTGTGTGATCTTTGGAGATTGTGGAGGCTGCACGAGAATAGGGTGTATTAATAATAATAATAATAATAATAATAATAATAATAATAATAATAATAATAATAATAATAATAATAATGATGATGATAATAGTAAAGTTGGAAGGGACCTTGAAGGTCATCTAGTCCAACCCCCTGCTCAGGCAGGAAACCCTATACCATTTCGGACAAATGGCTGTCCAGTCTCTTCTTAAAAACTTCCAGTGTTGGAGCATTCACCGCTTCTGGAGGCAGGTTGTTCCACTGGTTAATTGTTCTCACTGTCAGGAAGTTTCTCCTTAGTTCT